CTGTATAATTAAGCAAGTAGGAAAAAAAATTATAGCCTGTAGCCCTGTAAAAAACAAACATAATTCTCAATTCAATCAACCTCCTACAGGTAGCTTTCTAATCAGAATCAGTAAACTTACTGTTCCAGTAAAGTATGTGAGGAATGATAACATGATCCCATTCTCAAGGATTGACCGCACAGAAGCATTAACCAACATGCCAGGAACAAGAAGATCAAGTGAAATGCCCTTAAGATCCTTGGTCTGCAAAAGAACAGAACCAAAAAAAGAATGCTGAGTCAGAGGTAAACAAAAGAAAAGCCAACTAGACCATATAACAACGGCAGGATGGAATCATACTACAGATTTAGACACGGTATCTGGGTCAGAACTCAGATAAACAACTTTGCGAGTTTTATCAATGCGCCTAATAACCCCTTGTACAAATTGTCCAGTCCTCACTTCAATGTCCCTGTTTTCTAAACAGAAGACAAAAAAGAAAACAGGAAAGAATTTACTAAAAACGTGAAAGAGTTAACCAAAACAAATATATGGATATCATATTTATGTGTAAATGAGAAGCATAAAGTAAAGGGGTTTAAAAACATGGAAAGAATTTACTAAAAATTGAAAGAGTTAAAGTAAAACAAATGTATGGATTATATGTGCTTATGTGAGACACAAAGAAAAGGGTTATAATATATGTTAATCCACTAAAGAATAGAAGTTGGCATGAAAATAATTCAATAATAAACATACAGCATCCTTCCTAACCATGCCAAAAAGTTTCAGAAACATGGAAAAAATAAGTAAATACAACTTATATCCCAGGAAACTCCCAAAAATAACTCTAAGCCTCTTGCTTTTGTATATTTTAAGTATTAAACTGCTCACATAACAACAAGCGTGAATATAAGTTTTTGAAACCCTGGAAAATTTCATGAACTAGTATATGGATTTTTCCCTATAGCTATAGTTTCTTATTTCATATAAAAAAGCTTCAGAATTTTCACAATTGCAGACCCATCTCGAATAGAACATAAACTCCTTCTCACAGAAGAAAAATATGATTCTGAAAATCAATACCAAAATGAACAATATCTTTGCTGATCAAACAACAATTACTAGTAGTGCATAGTTTTTCTTACATTCTTGTTATTGGCAAAGATCTAAAGCAGTTATAATCTGGAATAAATATATCTCAATCATAATGCTCTCCCAAACTCCCACAGTTTATCATCATGCATTCCCCCACATTCTTACAACCTCTCCCAAGATTTAAAACAAGGTTTCAAATTCCTAAATTCATTAGTTTGAGAAAATGAGCATACATAAGAACTTTTAAAAAAAAAAGCATAAAAAAAACCAAAAATGTTACTTTGTTCAATAATAATGTGGGGATAAAAGCCAATTGATGAATGAGAAGTAACAAGAATAGAAGAAGTTGCCCAATATGTACCAGCTTGGCCATCTTTTGCTAAAAACCCCACGAATGTAGACAATCCAAAGTGAAGAATGTAACCATGATCTTCAATGCTTTTTATGTATCCAGAGAGAACCTGTGATCATACATAGTTAGGGAAAAGCCACTAGATCTACAACATATACCAAATCATCGTCATCATGAAGTAAATAACAATACAATGACACATGGAAACAAACATCTAGTTGGAGAACCTATGTCAAAATCAGCAACTTAAAGGGTAGCACAATGCATGGTAGAGGAACTGAAGAAAGGGAGAATAAGAAGGAAGCTGGGACAGGAGATGGCAGATACATCACTGTACATCAGATAAAAACAATAATCAGGAAAAAACCTCACAGAACATACAACCTCAATCAAACAAGATTAAATTATTTTCTTGTAAAAACAGGTGTAGGCCTGTTACAAGAACAACCTAAAACTTCTAATAATGATGGTAAACCATCCATATTTTTATCAAAACAAAACATCATACATAATACATCAGTCCTAATCAATTTCCTATTGTAAAAAAAACCTTAAAACAAGGCACAAACCCCACAAATTTCAGCACAAGTTTATAGAAGACTCTGATGATCATTCCAATACAAATACAAACTGCATACACTGTTTCGAGCAAAAAACGATGAAAAGCCTTAATCTGAAAACAAGAAAAATGCACCAGAAAAGCACCCAATCATCAATTCCTAAGTAAGGCCACCAAATACCTTAATTCCTATAATCCATGTTACAATCAAAGGCCCCGCAAAATCCAACAAGAATCAGTCCCATTATAATTAATACTACAAATTTCGATAATTCATAATAATTAGCATCTAAATCCATTCAATATTTTTTAATTCACAAATTTTTTAGGAACTTCATAAATATTAACATCTATGCACTTTCATAGAAGTTCTAAGAAAATAAATTTTTTTGGTTAACCTTTTTTTTCACTATTCAAATGGATAATAGGATAAAGCAAACTTGCTCATTGACATTTCTTATTTGTTGATTCTACCATATTCACTTTATACAAAGATAATTTTCATAAAGAAAAGTACAATATCAATAATGAGAATGAACTAATTTTTGTTTGATTCACTAAAGTAAAAGTTGCTTTCCAAATAGAAGAACTATTTAACAGCTTAGCATAGAATTTAAGCATCCAGCATATCAGAGGACAATTTTTTACAAAAAAAAAAAAAAAAACCCTTTCTTTTGTAATAGTAAACTTAGGGAGAAAAATTTTTGCAAGGAAACATGCAATATGAAAAAGAGAATCAAATAAATTTTATCTAATTCCTTAAAGTAAAGCCACTTTTCAATTACAAGAATTATTTGATGGCCTACCATATGGATTTAAGCATCCTGCATAAGTGAGGAAGAAATACACAAATTACCAAGATATTCAATTCTCTAATGATTACTTGACATACCATCCCTTCTTGAACAGCATCCAAGGTGAAGCCTTTGTGCAACAAAGAGAGACGCAAGGAAAGCCATATCTTTCTTTTGCCAGTCTCCCTCTTATCATCATCCAACTGCAGCACAATGCAGGAGACCAGCTGCCCGGTGTAGAATATATTTTTGAGGAAATTCCCTTCATTACTCTGATCAAGAAAAAGTTAATTATCTAATAAACTAAAAAATCCACAATTACATGCATGACTTGCTAAGAGAAAACTATAATGAAAAGAAAAGTAACACCAACAATAAGTATATCCCCCAAGAAACAGGTTTATATGCAGAAGTACCTCAACTTCATTACTGAGAACAGAATCAAGTGCATCAGCAGCACGAACTAAACCACGTAAGCCCCCTGGAAGACTAATTACAAGGTCCTTCTCATTTACTTCAGCAACAACTCCCCAGAGCTTCATTCCAGGAGAAATATTCTATATGCACACAAAAGAAAAACTAAGTTCATTTACTGAGTTTTTTTTTTTTTTTTGGCCAGTATTTCATTTATTAAGTTAAGAAAAGATCATAACATAATATAAACTAATCAAAGCAGAGCTGGGAAAATTTTAAAGAAAAGCAAGGAAAGAAAACTGGTTACACTCAAAGATAAACAGAAAATGTTGACGTATGGAGAAAAAGTAATAGAAGGTTTGAAAAAAAAAAAAAAAAAGGAACACTCAACTTTTTTACATTCAACTCAGGTAGACAAAGGAATGAAACAATTAAGAGTTCTAAATTAAACTAAACTATATTTAAATCTAATTATATTTTAATTTATTCAAATTTGGTTCATTAAATAAGCCAGTACATCCACCTTAAAAAACATGTATAACCATCATAAGCACAACAATTTGAGATGAATCATTTCGAGCTGGCAAAATTGTATAAAATTACAAATTCAGAAATTCCATGTCCATAAATAGAACTAATAGAACAATTTCGTTAAAAAAAAAAAAAAAAACAGTACCTTATGTTTTGATGATTCAACTTAATACAAAAAAAAAAAAAAGAACTTGCTTGGCATAAGATTTCGTTTCTACTCTATACCTTCAAAGTTATTTTATTCGCATATCGAGGTAGCTTGCCGGTAATGCCATCACCAAAAAGTGAACCCAAGTCATCCGGCATGACCTGGCTCCTTTTCTGCAGTTTCTTCCACTTATTTTTCTTTAATGCCAACTCCTCCGCCTCGAATTCCGCATCTACTTTAGCTCGGATTTCATCGCGTTCCTGTTTGCTCAAGGAACTCCTCCCGCCTGTCATTTAGTAACAGTTTTGTTAAACTGAAATAACTATCATTTTTCAATCTCAATTCTTTTTTTAATTCAATTACAATCGATTGCTTTTTTATAGACAATTACTCATCTCCATTCATTCTGTTTTGTTAAGAACTTAAATATTCTCGAGAAACAAACAGAACGTTGAAGGAGAAGAAAAACCTCTAGGGAAGTCAGGGACATCGTCCTCGAGCTGCAAAGCCACAGCCTCAGACTTAACAGCATCATTCGAATCCTTCTTTGTTTTGAACTGTTTCTTGGACGCTTTATTGAACTTTTGTTTCTCTTCCTTGGGTTTTTTCTTGTGAAATTTCTTCGAAGACGCTGCCATTTTCTCCCAAACTAAAAAAAAAAAAAGGAAAACCCGAAAACCTAATTAAAAAGAATGGGCTTCTATTGAGAAAAGGAAAGCGACGAAAATTTTGGAAATTTTGAGTATTTTTTGGGAGTTGCAAATATGGGGGAGACAAAGGGCTTAGGGAGGTTTAAGAGCAGCATTCAGCAGAGGACGGAAGAGGGAAGGCTAGGGCTCCGTCCGCAAAGTCGGTTACGGTTTTTATATATGGGCCAATTAGGATCAAGGTTCCTGATGGGTTCAATTACTTGAAAAAAGCTTTGTAATTTTGGGTCATTTAATCCCTGGGTTCCATCTCAGCCCGCTCGGATCAAGGTCCATGTTGGATCCAATTATACAAATTAAATGACGTCGTACCGTTGATTCTCTTGTTGGAACACACGTGGACGGTTAGGATGCGGAGATAGGCTATTAAAAGGACGCTTCTCGAATTCCAATTTAGAGGGTGGGTAAGAATCCAAAGAACGCATGATTAGGGGAGGGTAGGGCTCGGTTCTTAATGTCGGGCTAGGTCACCATAGATTCAGTTTGTTGAAAAAGGGCTTTGTAATTTTGGGTCATTTAATCCGTGGATGCCATTCAAACTGTCGGATCAAGGTCCATGTTGGATCCAATTATACCAACTTAAACGACGCCCCACCGCTGATTTTCTTGTTGGAACACACGTGGACGATTAGGATGCGGATATAGGTTATTGAAAGAAAGCTTCACGAGGTTCAGTTTAGAGGGTAGGTGAAAATCTGAAAAACGCGTGTTTAACAACCAAACGCCAAAATTCTTTGAAGAATGAGAAGAGCCTGGGGTTTTCTTTGTCTTCTTAAAGCGATTTCGTAACTGTAAGTTCTCACTTTCTTCTCTCTCTCTCTCTCTCTCTCTCCTTTGGGTTTCTCCTTAAAAATTTCTGATTCGTAGATCTCTTTTATTGTTTTATTAAGATTTTAGCTTTTAGTTTTCTAGCGTTGTAATTAGATTTTCTTTTCTTCAAATTTTGAAATTATATTTCCATACGTTTTTTTTTTCTCTTGAAATTGTTATAAATGGACGCCGAAAGACGAAAATTTTACTTTTTTGGTATGTTTTCTGGAATTTATGTTGCTTGTTTTGTTCCGAGATTATTTTTCTTAGCTCAGTAAATGCTTTTGTAAGTTCGTATTTTTCTTTTGAAGAAAAGTTTTCGTGGCGGAAAAGTTAGGTTTGTATAGAAAAACAGAAATTTGACTTAGCATGTTAATTTAAGGGGAAACGGAAACATGAAGTTGCTGAATTATTTTCGTAATTTCAGGGTCATTGTAATCGTTACTTTAGCTTTTTCTTTTCCGAAAATGTCTGTAAAACAATAGCAAATGGTAACAAGTAAAGCTTTTATTTGATTAAACATGAGGAAATTGTTATAATGCAATGTTAACTCAAACTTGGTTGTTCATAGAAAAGCGAAATCATGCATGTTGATGAAAGTTTTAAATATTTTAGTTCTTCATTGCAGTAGAGCGGTTTTCTTTTTTTTTTTTTTGCATTCTGTTCACACAGTTTTTACAGTTTGGTTAAAATCAATTTTTTGTCCATTGAATGTCTTAGGTTGTTACAAATGAGGGTTAGAAGTTACAGTTACAGTCCCTCACCACCAAGGGATTACAGTAGAGGCGTCGCAGCCCTAGCCCTAGGGGTCACTATGGAGGTCATGGTAGAGATCTTCCCACCAGTCTTCTGGTTCGCAGCCTTCGCCATGACTGCAGGTTTGTTATGTCTCCATTTCGTTGGCATCAGTTATTTTGAACCAGATGTCCTGTTGATATACTTGCTTTTAGTTTCCCCCTGTGATTATGTATCTCATTTAATTCATGGTATAAGTATAGGCAAAATTTTTTGAGACACCTAAACAATAGCAACTTTAGTTTTTTCTTTTCCAAAAATGTCTGTAAAACAATAGCAAATAGTAACAAGTAAAGCTTTTATTTGATTAAACATGAGGAAATTGTTATAATGCAATGTTAACTCAAACTTGGTTGTTCATAGAAAAGTGAAATCGTGCATGTTGGTGAAAGTTTTAAATATTTTATTTCTTCTTTGCAGTAGAGCTGTTTTTTTTTTCTTTTTTGGCATTCTGTTCACACAGTTTTTACAGTTTGGTTAAAAGCCATTTTTTGTCCATTGAATGTCTTAGGTTTATTGCAAATGAGGGGTAGAAGTTACAGTTACAGTCCCTCACCACCAAGGGATTACATTAGGAGGCGTCGCAGCCCTAGCCCTAGGGGTCACTATGGAGGTCATGGTAGAGATCTTCCAACCAGTCTTCTCATTCGCAACCTTCACCATGACTGCTGGTTTGTTATGTCTTCATTTCATTGGTGTCAGTTATTTTGAACCAGATATCCTCTTGATATATTTGCTTTTAGTTTTCCCCCTGTGTTTTAATTCATGGTATAAGTATAGGCAAAATTTTTTTGAGACACCTAAACATTTTACGTTTTGTTATTTTTTGTTTTTGTTGCTTATCCGTCCAAACATAACAAGCAGCTTTGCTGTTTTGTCTTTTGTTTAAAAAAAACATGATTTTGATAATACATATCAAATTTTAGTCTCATTAAAGTGTTTTCTTAGAGCCAATAAATTTCTAATTGTGCTTCGTTTGCAGACCAGAAGATCTCCATGGACCTTTTGGGCAGTTTGGTTCAAGGATATCTACCTGCCTCAAGATTATTATAACGGTTAAGTATAATCCTTGTAGATTCCTGAAAAATGGTGTTTGTGTGTGTGTGTCTGATAATGTCAACTTATTTGTCTTCATCTGTCTCACATGAACGTTTGGGTGATGAGTTGTTTCTTTATCATGTACATCGGTTCATGGGAATTTGGTTGTTTTTATTGAAAGTGTTGAAGACACCAATGAAGTATAAGAGTACACTGTTGAAGACACTTTGAAGTAATGAGTTCTGTTCAAGATGACCTTAATTTACATCAAGGTTGGAAGGAAGTTGGTTTTGATTTCATGTGAAGAAGTGCAAGTCTTGAAGAATATCAACTCAATTAAAATTTGACCCCCACAAGGTTAACAGCCATATAATCATCTTTATTTGAATTGAATGAAGAATCGGCTTGCTATCATCATCTTCCATGTTACTTTGGAGTAAAGATCATGTTTGTGATTTTTTGAAAATCAGTGAGCATGTGTGGCTTATGAAGTATGATCTGGTACCTTTTATGTTCATGGAAATTGGTTTATGAGAGCTACCTTGTTTGTGATGCAGGGAACCACGTGGTTTTGGATTTGTCCAGCATCTAGATCCTGCTGGTACTGCTGATGCAAAATATCATGTGGATGGTTATGTTCTTCTTTGCCGAGAACTTACTGTTGTATTTGCTGAGGAAAACAGGAAGAAGCCATCAGAAATGAGGGCAAGACAACACAGAAGGTAAAGCATGGGTTCTTTTACTATGCTTATACTTTATCCCACTACTTTAAAAGAAAAAAAAATTAGTTCCTGTTCTTAGTTGATGTTCTAGTTTTCTTATGCATAAAGGTATTTAGGAAGATAGGAGACTGATCTTTGTTAAGGATTTCTGGTTCGAGAAATTAAAGGTGTTAATTGAACAATGGTAATTTTGAGATTACATGTATTACATTATGTTCATGATATTAATGACAGGAGTTGGGCATATAGGCGCTCCCCACTTCATTATCTCGATCACCATAATATGCTTGAAGTTACTGCTGCAGTCCACAGTATTATTCTCCTCCTAGGCAAAGACATTACTAAAGGTAAGATGTTTGAAATTGTTATTTTAATAATAATTATATTTTGTGAATGATCTTGTTAATGTTGGCTTCTTTTTTTGTATAGGTCAATTTCACCCAGTGATAGAAGATACAGAGGGCGTTCGTACTCAAGGTCACCCTATGGCTCAAGGAGACCAAGCCAGAGCTTTAGTAGGAGGAGGAGCTGAAGTCTGGACTAATCTAGGTGACTGATTTGAAGGTGTCTGGGTTAGTATGCGTGGGACATATTTCTATGCTAGTTCTCTGGATAATTAGTTTAGATATGCTTCAGCAATGTATGACTGACCACAAAGTTTATTTAGTTTCTACTGCTGATTATGGGTAGTAATAATGTTAACACATAGACACGCTATTTTGAATCCTCTATGTTGACAAGATTGCCATCCTTAAATGATCTTTATGAACATTTTTTATTCCATTTTTTTGCATGAATTAGTAGATGCTTGTTTGTGAATTGTGATGGAACTCCTCCCCTGATTTGGTCTAATATGTGATACACAGTTGATCTTTTTTATTGTTCTTTGTCATAGATTTTGTTGCCACATTCAAGAACTTGATAATTATTGTCACATAAGGGTTAAAGAGACTGGTTGTTAAAGGGTTAGGATAGAATATGCCTATTTCCATATATATATATATATATATATATATATATGTGACTACTCTTTCTTTCGTTGTTGTTGTTCCAAAGTCAGTCTGCGCTAATATGTTGATGTTGTTAATTGATTAAAGAGTTGATAGCTTCATGCCAATGTTGTTAACTGCTGTTTCAGTTTTGCATGTAGTTAGCGATTGGATCCATCAATAGTGCATCCCAGCTATTTGACTGCTTGAGGCCCATTGATCTCGTGGTTAATGATAACTAAAAACCAAAGAGTGAAAGGAGAAAACATCTGCAGACAAAGTATGGGTAATGTACATTATATTACAAAATCTACTATACAGATATTCATATAATCATCTTCATGCTGCTAGATTTAATGGATACATTGTCAAAACATAGGTCGGTGCAGTGATGAAAACTAATGTTAATCCTACATCACCATGGGACTGTAAGCTTTGGCTCACCTGTCTTACGAGGTACCAAACATGGAAGCTCCGCATTCTCAATGGAATTCCTGTCTGTCCTAAATTCCCAATTTGACTAAACTAGGGAAACAGGGATGGTATTAACTTACCCTTTAGATTTAGATATCCACCCAACAACCAGATTGAACAAACCCAGAAAACTCGACTGGAACATCTATACTAGTAAATTTTCCACTCTGTTCATCCACCAAGAAGAACCCTTGTGGACCACCCTGGTAAGCTGATCCAGACACAAATGTCCATCCTCCCAAGGGGACCGCACATGCTCCGACTCGTATCGCCGAATCACGGTCGGCCCAGCAGAAGAGTTTCTTGTCTTTCCCTACCCCCACACAAGACCTGGGACATTGACTCGCCCTCCAAGCCTCCTCAACTCGACTCCATTCACCTGTTTCCAAATCCAACAACTCAGCGCTCCCCTCAAATCCTCCTTGATTATCCGTTTTATATCCACTCACCACCCAGAATTCCGACCCGATAACCATCCCTTGACACTCATCTCGCTCCTGACTCATCCTAGATAACTCAGTCCACTCATCCCGACGTACATCATATTCCCACGCTGTACTTAAAGCGTTCTTGTTCTCATCATGACCACCGGCTACGATGACGCGTCCATCCAACGCACCAGTCGCGAAGAACGATCGAGTTTCTGGCATCTGCTTCCCTTCTCTCCACCTCTGAGTTGTGAACTCGTATACGAACACGTCCCTCACTGGGTCATAACTTGTCGGGTCCCATCCGCCCATCAGCACAAGCTTTCCTTCAGAACTTGTTATCTGACAAAACAAAGGAAGCCCATCACGGTATTTAGGAACCCGGTCAATCCGATCCCAGATTCCACTCGCCGGGTCAAACACGGTGATCCCATACCTGGGTGGACCAACCAGTTTGTACCCATCAGCATCGGTGCCACTATTCAGTAGTTGAACCAAGCAAGCCGCTTTCTGGGTATATCCGGTTTGCTTTCTGTGATAGTAAAACTCTCTGCTTTGGAGAAGCTCTTGCCATCGTCGGCAAGCTCCAGCTGCAATTGGGTGAGTTGAATAATGAAACCGAGTCAAGCATTCGAGTCCGATTTCCTCGGGTAACCCCGGAATCAGCTCCGGTAATGACTCAATAGAAACCATTTTTTTTTTCTTGTTTCGAGTTTCCAGTGCCTTAAAATGTGACGTGAAATGACGGGTATTTATAATTAGAGAAAAAGGAACTTTGTAACGATGTGCATTGCAGACAGCAAATCAGTTTCTGCCACGTTTACGAAGAAGGCGTAGCTTTTTTGGTTTTTTTTTTCCTTGTTCTATGTATGCTTTTAACTTTTAACTTTTTTTTTTGTTTTGAAAACTTTATACATTTTTATTCAAGTGGGGGTAATTTTGCAAAAAAGAAAAACATCTTTATTATTTTTGATTGGTTTACAAAATAATTTCAAAAATCTTTTTAACTGATTTTATTGCAAGAAAAAACGTTTGTTGATCTGAATGACCTGTTTGTTTGATCATATTAATTATTGAATTTTATTTATTGAGATTATCTCTTCTAAATAAGATTCTTGTTAGACAAGATATAATTTTATTTTTTCTTTAATTAAAATATTCTTTTGTAGAGAAAATTATGGAGATGGGGTGGGGAAAGGCAGATCTAAAATCCTGTTCTCTTTTCCAAACCTTGAAGTTTTCAAATCACGTGCATCAGAAATCCATAGCACGTTTTATGTTTGTACCTAAATAATTTAAATTTAAAAAATACATATGTATTTTATCTAATAAATTTTTATTATGAGAATAATCGGAAAAAATACAAAGATATTAGTCTTTTCATAAAAAAATTATGATAAAATAATAGATAATAAGTATTAAATTTTAAATTTTAATTTTATTAAATATTATCTTTCAAAAAATAACTATATAAATTAATTAAATTAGTATTACTAATGTATGCGTTTTAAACATTTACAAATAAATAACACCCAGTGATATAATCAATAGAGATAAGTGCTTCATACATATTGGTATGCATACGTATGATCCTTGATCTTCAAATACGTAATCTACATCAATTATTTGGAAAATCGGTGCAAATTGCAATTAAATAATTCTAATCTTATTAAAATCTAATTTTAACTTGACATGTTCAACGTTTCTTTTCATTTTTATTTTGAGTTATACAACTAATTATTCTTTTTTTATATTTGATTTTGAACAACATGAAACGAGATAGAATTCAATTCTTTTTTTTTCTTAATTATTGATATAGATAAAAGGGAAATTACTTTCATGGTCATTAAAATTTAAGATGAATGTTGTTTTAATTAGAATCTTTAAATAGTAATATATTAGTTTCTATATGTTGATGATTGTAACGAAATGGTCTTATGTCGGCAAAACTATTGGTTTAGTGTTATAAAAAAAATTAAAAAATGTATTGATAAGATTATAAAGTTAAAGTTAAAAAATAAAATAATGATTATGAAAGAAATAAAAGTTTGATAAAATTTATTTATAGGAATATTAATTCTTATGTATTTTTATTGTTATTTTTAATAATAATTTTTAAATCAATTAATTTTTTTATTTTTTCAATAAAAAACTTGTTAAGTTGCAATTAGACTTGCTTATAAATTGAGTTGTGAACCAGAATATTAAATTCACAAACAAAATGACTTGAATCGAGTTTTAGATATGATTTTTAAGGCTTACGCTCTACTTAATTAAATTATTAATTTATTAATAAAATATTTTTATTTAATTTATATTTTAAAATATATTTAAAAATATAATAATATTAATATAAAATATTTTTAAATAGTTTAATTTTTAATAGTAAAATGTTTATTCAGGTTTATAATGGACGAATCATGTTGAATCTTAAACAAAACTTCGAAAATCTTATCCAAATTTAACTCGGTTCATGAAAATCTTTACTTATAATCCAAATAATTAAATTTGTTATTTTCTACTAATAAGGGATAATGTAAATTTCATAATATTTCATTGAAAATTTTATATTAATATTTTATAACTAAAAGAATTTGACTTTTGAAGAAATATTTTACGACGATGAAATATTGTAAAATAAATGACAAATACATGACTAAATATTTTATGATAATGTATAAGTAATTGTACTTTTTAAACAAACAACAAATAAATTTGAAAAAAAAAAAGTAGTTTTCATTTTCAAGATATAAACTTTTTTTCTATCCTAAAATTGAATCCTTAACAAAATTAAGGGTTGAAAAAAATTTTATTTTATATAATTATCAAAATTATTAGTTTTTTCTTTGTAGTAAATATTTATTATTGCAACTGTAACAAGTAAAAAAGTTTTATGATTACTTTGTAATTTTATCTTTAAAATTATTTTAACAGTTACAATTAATGGTTTTTCTACCAAAGATTTTTTGTTATGATCATAAAATATAGAGACTAATATGTTATTTTTTAAAATTAGGAGATCAAATCAAAATAATATTAATTTCAAAATTTAAGAACCGTAAAAATAATTTATCTTAAATGAAAATATATAACTGAATTTTATTCATGTGCAATCAAAAGCCATAAATGCTTTAAAAAATAATAAAAAATTTTAGATCTCTAATTTTCTAACAGAAATTCTTTTAAGCTTGTAAATTTTGTTATTTTATTTTAATATTTAAACTTGAAAATTTCAAATTAAAATCCCAATTTCTAAACCTATGGGTGTTAAAGATCATAGATGGTTTCATTATTGGGATTTTTTTTTTTTAATTGAAGGTGGAAAACATTATCCAAAGTAAAGAAGAGAAATGAGTGAACAAAAGAAGCAAGGAGAGCCGCCTTGATTGGAATATAGATAAGAGTTGGGAAAACGCGTGGAAGTGGGACGATGGTGGGTCCCCAAGGGATGGCCAAATCCTGATTCCAGAAGCAAAGGTCGGCTTGGTGCTTGCTCAATGATGAGGACAGTACGCAAGTTGATGAGTCAGATAGATAAGATTTTGCCTTTTTTCCTTTTTATTTTCCAAGGACCTGTGAAAATTGATGAACACAGATACTATTGCACAAACCCGCAGGGGTGTTCATTCGATTAGTTGAATTAATTTTGAATTAAATTATTTAAAATTAAATTAATAAAATCACATTATTTTAATTTTTTAATTAAATTAAATTTATTAATTTTAAAAATTAACTATTAAAATTTAATTTGATTATTTTGTTTTTTTGTTATTAATCGAATAATAAATATATTAAAATTATATTATATTTTAAACATTTAATTTTTTATATTTTTAAATAAATTAAATAAAATTATCTAACAAAATATTTAAATATCAATATATTATAAACAATTCTAACAATTTATGAAATAAAATAATACATTTCATTTTTGTTCATTTTATATTTAGATTTATTATATTTCAGTTAAAATTTTTGCTAATTCAATTTTCGAATCAAATTAATCGAAGATTAAATTTTTTTTTAAATCATTGTTATTAATCAACTAAAATTAATTTGGTAACCAACAAATTAATCAAATTAAATCAATTTAATCGATTAATTTTATAAAAATCGAATTATGAACACCCTTACACACACTTTATTATAGATTTTCAAAATAAAATATGATAAATAATCTTATATTGAAAAAAAAAAAAGATAGATAGTTAAGTCTGTTCAAAATAATAAGATAGATTTATTCAAAATAAATAATTTTAACTGTTCAAAAATAAAAAATTTTTATCTATTCAAAATAGATAATCATATTTATAATAAATGACACATATCTCTTTATAAAATGGTATTTTTGTTTTCTAAAAACACACATAAACAATTCTTGGAATTCTCCCTCTTTATTTTATAAAAGTTTTGCTGCATAATAACTTTATAGAAATTCTATGACCTCATGATATGCCGATGATTGCTTTGTGGATTGATTTTTTCAGTGCAAAACAAAGTCAATCACTGAATTTCATTGTATCTTCAAGATTTATTGCCTATAACCTTTTTATACATCTATTAAGTAAATAATATGGTTGAGACAAATAAAACCTTAAAGAAAACGACACCGTTACACACCATGAAACATTTCTTCAAAATTTCAAATTTACCAGAAGCAATAATTCTAGATTTTTATTGTTTACTCTAACATACTTTCTCTATTTGGTGAAATTAGTGGAAATTTAAAACATTTTTAAAAAATTATCATTTAAAAATTTAAGCAATGTTTTAGCCTATACATGTTTTTTATTGTAAAAAATACATATCAAACTTAATTTTTTAAGTAAGGATTTATATAGTTATTTGCCTTCATATGATACTTGTCATTAAATTGCAATAATGCCAAAAATATTCAAAATTATGATATTCATTTGTTGCTTGTTTAAAGTCTATTATGGAATTTCACTTTCACAAAATATAAAATATAGCTTTTGGAATAGGTATGTATCATTTATTTCATGACCTAACAATTAAATATATAAAAAAATAATTATTTGGCAATCTAATATCTAAGCATATATACTACATTAAGATTCAACTAAATTAACCATAATCACCATTGTAAAATCCTTAATACTATAATTTATTGAGGTTTAAATTATAAATGATAAAACAATACATATTCACAAATTTTGATTTATTTCTATCGAATAAAAAGATTTTTTTAAAGTGGATTTGAATAGAATCTAACCAAATTTTTATATAAAAATAATCAAAACTAATTTTAAGATATTTTATTTCAATTCGTTACGCGGCATCCCTAATTCAAACAATCTAAAACATAATGAATTTTCACGTACACATAACAAAAAGTTTTATGTCTTATTTTAATCTTTTTCACATACACTTTTAATTTTTTTTAATTATAATTATGGCCACATTAACAAAATAAATTGTTGATTTTCAACTCAATATGCTTCAATATTTGTATAAACATGTAAGATAGTGAATTGTTATATCCTAATCTCATATCGAAATGTTTTGAGGATCTACTATGATATATATGTAAAAATTAAAACTCAAACTTGTGATACACATTTTATGAGATAAAATCGTAAAATCTTCAAGTTAAAAAAGAAAATACCTTACAGGTTGGTCAAAGTCTTTATAAATTATATCAAAATGGTAACCAATCATATGAAAGTTAAGTGCTACATCATGAGAGTCACTTCTAGAATCGTACGATAGTTAATACTATAAGGTAAGAGCTACCTTTAGAATC